CCTGCGCGCCCGCTGCGCAACGCGAGCGAGAGAGGACCGGGCTGGCCTGCCCCGCAGGGCCCAGGAAGCCAGAAGGCCGGGCTCCTCTGCAGAGCCTCGTTCTGCCTCCGCCCAGGGCCCCTCGAGTTTCGCAGACCGAGGAAAGGATGGGGGAGGCGGGAAGTTTATTCTCGAGGCTTTGAAAAATGAGGTTTCCAGGTCTCTCCATCGCGCGCTCCCAGGTGCAATTTCGCAATCGAGAGCGTCTGAAATGTAAACCACGTCCTCCTCCAGGCGCGTCCCGCGGGGACGTCGGCCCGGCCGCGGTCCCCGGTCCGGTCGCAGCGCGCGTCCCGTGGGGGTGTCGTGTCGTTTGGGCTGTGTCTGCGTGGATGGCCGAATCGCATTCGGCCGGGTGGCAGGCCCCTAATCCCGTGGAGTCTCGGAAAACACCCGCCTTTCTGACTCTCCCGCAGAACGCGGGCGGCGCGCCCCCTCGGACCCGGCGTCCGGGCTCCCGTGAGACCGCGCGTCCCTGCGGCTGGTGGCGGCTGGAGCGCGAGGAACGCGCGCGTCGGCGCAGCCCTGCGAGCCCGCGGCCCAGGACGCGCCCCCGGAGGCCGAGGCCGGAGAGCGAGCCCGCTGAGCCCGAGGGTTCCCACGTGGAGAGGGTGGAGGTGGCCAGGTAGCGAGCGATTGATGGCTCAAGGAGAGAGAAGCACGGCCTCCACGGCGGCCGGGGGTTCAAGCACGCCTCGAAGCCACCCGCGTGGAACTCGGGACCTGTGTGGTCACCGTGCACGGCACACCCAGACCCTGATCGTGCGTATCGGGCTTGCTTATAAGCCGCACTCGCCGCCTCAGCAGCCGGTCCCAGGTGCCGCTCTTGCTAATCCCCTCTGCCAAGAGTCGCGTGATTCCCTTTTTGTTTTTAATTGCCACTTTACCATCCTGTCCTCCTCCCTCCCTCTCTTCTTTCTTTCCTTCTACCCTTCCTGGCTTCCGTCTTCCTCCTCTCCTTTCCTTCCTTAATCTGGGGGCGTTCGTGCTGAATGTCATTTATTCACCGGCGTCCCAATCTGAGGGGGAGGGACCCCTCTCCGCCCTCCCCAGGGTGGCTTGCGCTCCCGCAACTGGAGAGTTTAGCTTTGACTCCACAGTGGAGTTTCCCATTCAGAGCCACCTATAAACGCCGGTGAATTAGCTCTCACGGTTTCCCAACCCCGTGGAAAGCCATTCCTAGAACCTAGCATCGTTTTAGTGGTGCGTTGTTTGCTCCAGCTGGAGGTGCTGACCAGTCAGCTCAGTTTCTGCCCCTGGATACAGAAAAAATTTATGTTGTTGTTGTTTTAAAACCACTTGTACAAAACCGGTTCCTGATTCCCTCATCTACCAAGGCAGTCTGTCACTTTGGCCCTGCACCTTGCTTTTCACATTCTGCATTTCAGTTAAAGGCTGAAGCCTTCCCCATGTCCGATGGAATGTCACTGCATCACAGCTTTGGAGACAACTTTTGCTGACTTGCCCAGAAAACAGTGCTCCCGATCTCTCACAGGGGGGCGAGGTCCACTGAGAGATTCCTAACTTCCGGCTGGGACTGAATGCATTCAAGTAATAGATGTCTAAGGTCTCCTCACCCTTGGTCACCTTGGGCTACTCACTGGTGCCCTCCTGTCTTGCCTCCTTAGATTCAGTCCAAAGTCCCCAGTGGGAAGAGGACAGCAGTTCTGATTCTTCTTTCTGTTTGTTGTAAAAAGGAAAATAGCTTTTATTAGTTTGAGATGTCCTTTATAAGTTTTGATATCTGAAAAAACCTGACAAGGGAGGCATGATGAGATCATTTAGTTATCTCAGTGAATGACTTTTTTTATGAAAACACTGGATAAAACATTTCACAGTAACCCTCCCCCATTCCACCTTTACTTGGGTGAAATGTTTCTACTATTGACTTTTAATTTTGCAGAGCGCCCCCACCCTCTTCTACAATACCATAGGTAACAAATACATACACTGAGCCTGTTAAGGGTCACTCTTGACTTTTACCCTTCAGCACCCTTCCCACCCCACTCATCCTTACGCAGGCGCATTTTTTTCTTGATCCAGAGAGTGTTGGGATGTGCATATGTCTTTTAGGATCTCCCTGACTTTCATTCTTTTTGAACTGATATTAAGCTGTCTATCCTGAGATACAAAATCAATTTTTGAAAAACAATCACGTGAAAAATGGTTTAACTGCTGTTCTGATGTCTTGGCTTTTCAACTTTCATAGGGAAGGCTTTCACCGGTGTTTAAGTCATAGTCCACTCGAATCCCCTTTTTAGGTGACTCCAGACCGGTGGTAAACCAGTAACATAATTGTTTCCAAAATGAAAAGAAGTTGAGATCAGTTGTGTTGAGGATTCATTTGAGTGTTTATCTGTCTTTTATTTTAAAAGGTGTGTGAGAAGAAAGGGAGGAATAAACTGGGGGAGGGCAGAGGCAGAGAATCTATGAAAAGTTGTTTTTAAGATTAAAGCCACTTCTCCAAACTATCATCTTGCCACAAGTGACAATGCAGAGAGCAGGAGTCCTGAAAGTGGATTACTGTCACTTGGTGCTACCGGAGGCCCAGAGAGTCCTAGCATGAACTCCTAATGGAAAGGTAAACAGACCTAGTCAGCAGCTAACAGTCTCCCCAGCCGCACCCTCACTGCCAAGCGCTCAGGCGCTCAGAGTGGCTACAGACCTCGGCGGGGTCTAGGTGGCAGGGCTTCCCCTGGGATAGGAAGCGGATGCTGCCTGCAGAGCAGAGAGGGGGTAGCTGAGTGGCTGTAAGAGCATGGCCGAGGGGACAGGGTGCTTGTACCCCGAGGGCTGGGGCCACCGGTCCCTCCCCACTCTGCGTGGTGCAGTCCATGAGCCAACGCTGGCTAAGGATAGATCTAAGAGAACCAAGAGTAGGGCCTTGGAGGTGCTAGAGACCAACCCTCAGTTTGTTCCATTCCTCCTACTGGGCTCCCATCCTAGGGTGTCCAGGATTGGAGACCCTACCAGAGGAGAGGGCGGACATGATAAGGAAACAGGCCTAGCGCCAGCGTGGCATGCGCACACGGGTGGGAGCCTGCGAAGATGAGCAGACACACCTCGGGATGAAAGAAGCCCTCAGTGATCTGCATGTCTGGCTCCTGCAGTTGTGCATGGCCAACCCGAGGGTGGGGGACGGGGAAGCCTCCGTGTTTTCAGTCGCTCCATCTGGGGTTGCTTATCTCCTCTCCCCCAACCCTCCGCCTCACCCCATCAGGACCAAGCAGAATCGAAACTTCATCGCCTCTGCCTGTACTGAGCCTCAAAACTCAGGATTTGATAAGGTTACTGCACCATTAATACAATTGTAGATTTTTTTAAAGCCTCCTCCAAGAGACAGATGTTTGGGCTGATTAAGAATCGAGGAGGAAACCTGCAGCTGCACCAAGGAATAATCTATTGGACAAATATTTTAATAAAAAAGAAATATGAAGAGATCAGCCCGACCTTGCAAGGTCTTCTGCTTTAAAAAAATCTTTATCAAACCCCGATTCTATGGCTTCAATAAACAGAACCCATTACCTCACGGCATCTTTTGTTGGCCCCATACAAGAGAGAACAAAATGGTTATTCAGGGGAACGCTTTCGATTTTTATTGTGGGTAGCCTGCACAAAGACCGTGTTATTGTATTTAAAAGAACCATCTGTAGCAGAAACAATGGCATCAAATTATCTTTGAATACCCACTGAAAAAAACATAAAGCTTTTTTTTTTTATTCTTCTTCTGTACGGTGGGGGGATAGAGCAGTGTTAGGATAACTGACTTTTTTGTTGTTCTCTGGGTGCATTCTTCTCGCTCCCCCTCTCTCCCCCTCACCCTCTCTCTTCTCTCTCTCTCTCTCTCTCTCTCTCTCTCTCTCTCTCTCCCTCTCTCTCTCTCTTTTAAAAAATCAGCCATTTGGGGTTTTAAGCCATAAACGATTTTTCTTGTTGCAGGGGATTGCAGTGGCAAAGCTAGGCTAGGTCTTGGAAGCTGGTGTAAGGCGATGCCGTGAAGGCAGGAGGCTGATGGAGAGACTGGGGGGAAGAAAAGCAGAAATGGATTCACGGTGCCTTGGATGGAGGACGAGAGGGGAACTGCAGGCTCCTTCCACTCGTTCTGTCCGGTGAGAAGTGATCAAGCTTGGACTGACAAGAGGCTCAGGGAACCCTCACGTTCTTTTGCTTTTTTACCTGCCAATCAAACTGCTACAAGACAACACCCTGATCTGGCATGGACATGTAAGTAGCTTGCAACCCAACTTTGACATTCACTGCTAGCTCACTCCTCCCCCCACCTCACTTTCTTCCCCACTCATTCTGGTTTTTTTTTTTTTTTTTTTTTGACCTTTAAGAGATCTGGAAATACACCCTGGGTGGCAGTCATTTAACACTGGCAGATTTAAGTCTGAGAGCGTTAACTTTTGGAATTAAATGCTGATTTAGATTTCTTTAACAAATGCAGAAATGAAATGACATTATGGCATTCTCTTCTGAACAGTTTTAGTGCCGAACATAATCAGTTGTCTTGCAAGGGTGTGTGTGTTGCTTCTTCTACGAAAATGAAGAAATAGATCTGTGAGCCCCCAGAGAGAACCCCAGGAATGAAAAATCCGGGCTTCCATCTTTAAAATGTTAAAACGTAGCATCCACTCCTACAAAGAACCTTTTCCAGACCAGTGTTACTTAGCATGGAAAGAGTGATTTGATTCCAAAGGTACATACCATTAAGGGATTGCTGCTACTGCAATCGGCGTCTTACTATTTTGGTGGTGGCTAGGGGTGGGGGAAGGTTGCGGGGCTGGAGGTGGGGGTGGGGTGGGGGAGAAGAAGGAGACATGGCGATGCCTTGCTTTTTTATGAGAGATTGACATGGAGGGAGACAGAAATGGAAGGGGGGGCCAGGATACCCAGGAAACATTACCTGAGAGAAGGAATTACAGAGCATGGCGAAGCTGGAAGGTGGGAGGGTTTCGGCTGAAGTTGGGCGAGGGGGTGATGGGGCTTGCTCTCTGGCGCCCTCTCATGGTAACTTGAGCCAATGTTTCACTTTCGTAATTCAGTGCTGGGAAAAGCAGCTGGGTTTTTGTTATTGCTGTTGGGTTTGGTTTTTTTTTTTTTTTTTTTCCTCCGCAGACTTAGAAACTGAAGACTATTAGTGGAGCAAATGGGTTGTTTTCATCCCAGAAGCTTATGCGTATGCCTTAAAATCATCCACGTTTTCTCCTTAAGCATCCCCTCCTCTCCCGAAATCTTGTTAGACTAATGGAGGAGGCGAGGCCAGCGTGACTTATGGAGGGTGGTCCACGCCCAATTAGTAATTCGGGAAAGGGATTCCTTTCCTACCTGAACAGCATCCTGACTCTTCTAATGTCCTCGAGAGGTGTAGGGGGGTGGCGTGGGAAGGGATGATTTGGAAATTGCTGATTCTGACACGGGCTCATTATAATACAATTTAAAGGGGGCCCTTAGGAACGAACCTCTGTTACTGCGACATGGGGTGGTCAGGGGGCTTTCCTTCCTGCCTCCTTTTCCTTTCTTTTTTCCCTTCTTTCCTTCTTTTTTATTTTATTTAAAAAAATTTGGTAGATAAAGGTTAATCTTGGGCTGAATGATAGAGCTATGATTGACAAGAGAAAAGGTGTGGAGGGCAGGTCGCGCTGTCTTATTTACAGCCCACTGCTTGCTGTAGAGTCTTTGTTAGGACTGGAAAGCTAATTTAGTGCTGATCAAAAGCACCACAGAGTTAAAGGACTGGTAATGACTGCTAATTTCATTTCAGCCTCATGCATCCCCAACCGCTGTAATTAAAGACACGCTATTTAAATACAGGTGAAGGGTTTAGGGTGCCTTTTTTTTTTTAAGTTGGGTAGGGGGGTGGGCGGATTACAATTTTATTTAGATGTGTTCTTATACTGTACTTGGGTGTTAGGTAATCCAAAATCAGATTTATTTGTATTATTATTATTTAGAGGCGCTCCTTGTCATTTATACCTGGTTTTGTAGAATCCACAGTGTGAAATGTGTCAGTCACGTAAAAGCCCCTGTTTAAAGAAAGGGCGGGGAACGGGGTGCAGAGGGGTGACTATTTAGGGGTGATTTAAATATTTGGGTCTCCCCCCCCCCCGTTTCAAATTAATAGAAGAGGCTTCAGTATAGTTAAAAGTATTTGAAACTTGGGGCAGGGTTAACAGGCCAAAGGGATCGATGTCAGCTTTATAAGTACTTCTAAAAAGATCATGTGAACCGATGGAAAAATGTTTTTAATTAGATAATTTCTCCCACTCTGGCCGCGGTGTGGGCTCAGAAACCGTGTGATTTCTCAACCGATAGGAGTTTCTTTATGAGAACAGCAAAGGATAAAAAAGCTCGACATTTTCGTAGTTGGCTAACATTGATAACCCCCCCAACACACACACAAACACACACACACACACACACACACACACACACACACACACACCCCACACACACACCCCCCACACACACTACCCCCAAAAGAATTTCGCCTTTAATCCCTTTCCATCGACGGAGACGAAAGCTCTGTACTCGACCCCGCGAGCGGGCGGCCCGCGCCTTCCGGGGCTGGAACTCAGAACTCAGACGAGCCGCGGCCGCCGAGCCGCCGCGCAGGTTCGGGCCCGGCGCCCCCTGTTGGACACAGGGGGAGCTGCGCGGCGCCCGTCCCGGAAATCGACAGGCTCTTGCTCTGGGGTTGAGGGAACCCTCTTCTGACGACCCTCGGGGGGAAAAGGCTGGGAGGTCCGGAAGCAAGTTGCTGTATCCTTGAAAGGGAATATGATTCTAACTCCACAGGAAGCCAGAGAGGCGACCCCATGCAGCTTGCGTTTTCTGTCGGGAATGAGGATGCGCCTGTAGCCCTGCTTCTCCCCTCCCAGCCGACCCCCGCGCGGGTGGGTTCTGGAACCCCTCCTTGGCTCTGCCACGCTAGGACAGGCAGAGAAGCAGGAAGGGAAACAAAGAATGTTTTTCTGTTTTTCTGTTTTCTGTTGCCGAGGAGAATCGGGCCGAGGGTCCCCCTCCCGCTGCGGCCACGTTTCCAAAACTTCAGCGGGAGATGCTGTGGCTGGCTGTCCCGACGTAGGCAGCAGCATCTCGGTCGCCCTGGGGGGGTCTCCGCGAGGGTCGAACGGAGGTTCGGAGCGAAGAAAGTAACTTGGCCTCTTTTTATTGGGTTCGCTCCAGAGCGGAAGTAAAAGGCCAGTCTCTTCTGTGGGTGTTTCCCATCCCCCCCAGCCAATCTTGGTCGAACTTTTTCCTTCCCGGCTAGCGGTGACACTCTAGATGGGGTCCAGGGAACAGGCGCCTGGTGCCTTTCTTCTTTCGTCTGGGCCGTAGGACTTCAGGGCGGGTGCCCGTGGTAAGGGGTGTTTTCTTTGAGATGCGGCCTTTCATTGGCCAGGAATCCAAACTGTCCTGGGGAAAGGAGAGCATTTTTACACTTCCCCCAAACGACCTGTCTACAGAAGAGCGAGCTTCCCTTATTATGATTCTTATTTTTGTCAGCCACCGAGGGCAAAAGTAGCCTTTGAATTATATCAGAAAGATAAACTGTAAAACTGACACATCCTCTGAATTTAAAAGCTGTGGGGAAATAGGGGTTGGCTCAGTTGTTTAAAAATCAAATAAAGTCATTCTTGGGCTAAAGGGACAAGATGTTTTATGATTTCCATCTTCAGAAAATGTACTTAGCAATTTTAACTTTGACCCTTAAGAACTTTGGGACTCGCTTTTTTTTTTTTTTTTAAGTTTGCCTATTGAAGGAAGCCACTTTTAAAAAATAAAAGAATGGCTGGTGGAAATATCTAACCCTGTGACTATGAAAGCTGTATGCTACCCTTAGGTGTTCTCCCGCCTCCCGAAATGAGCGAGTCCGAGGTCGTGTCTAAAGGGACGTGGCTGCTCCTGGCCGTGAGCGGTGTCTTCTCCATCTGGTTCCAGAACCGGCTCTCCGGTTGCCCTTTTTTTTAGTTAGTGGGTTCAGACGTAGAGGCAGGGAGGGAATCGAGGCTTCTGACACTCCGCTCCCCGGAGTTCTCTCGAAACGACAGGCCAGCGGGCCCCCAGCCCCGGCAGCCCGCCCTGCGCCCGGCCGAAAGGCTGCGGCGGGCGGGCGGGGGCCGGGCGCGCCCAGGGGCGCTGCGCTCCCCGCCGAGGTCCGGAGGCCGCGCGGAGGCTCCCGCGGCTCGCGCGGGGAGCGAGGCCGAGGCCGGCCAAGCCTCGGAGCCCACCGCGAAGCGGGGTCTGCGCCTGTGCGCTTCGGAAGTGCTGCCGGGCGTGCCAGGGCGGCGTCCCGGGGCGTCCACTCCGCGCCGCACCCGGGGGTCCCCACCTGTAGGGAGAAGGCAGGGGCGGGGGGTGCGGGCGGGAGGG